TTAAAGATTTGATTTGATGGTGATGAAACTGGTTCATTGAATGATTATAAGGATTAAAGTATGAATATTAGAGGTTAAATCACCTTGATTGAATACAGTACTAAACTTATAATTAAGATTCTATCAAATCTTCAAGCTCATGTCTGTCATAACATGAGTGTATTTAAGGTTGGTTTAAAACAATTTATTCTAATAAAACTAAGAAAAGCTTACGAGAATATAACTTTTATAAAAGAAAGTGTTAATTTATCAAAAGTATGTTACAATATACAAGAATAAGCCAAGTCAAATATATAAAATAGAATACGATATTTGTGAAATTTCAACCTTTTAAATAAGTTGAAAAATGAAAAGCTTTTGGAAAAATCTCAAAATTCGAGTTTCACTCATAAACCATAAAATAGTTTATTTTAAATCCTATAAGCGTTTTTTGAAATGTTATCGAACAACTTAAAAAAAATTTCAAAAGTGTTTATAACTTTAAATAAACTAACTGCAAGTGGTTGGTTTGACTCTAAAAAATGTTTATTTATTTCTTTGAGTTTATAGGTTCAAACATTGGGATCACTCACCATAATACATTATAACTTATCTGTTCTTTTAAACTTGTAGAATGTTTAATAGACCCCGAGAATTTGTTGAGACATGCACAAACTGGCCGCCTGAACACACTGATTACCAAAAATAAAAAAACTTTAAATAGATAGTTTTAGTAATTAGATAAGCCAACCGAATAAACTTTGTATGTTAGAAGGAACATAAAAATATTATATCATTATATTACATTAATATAATTAAGAAACATTTAAACAATGCTTTTAAAGTAATTAAAAGATATTTTTTGGAAGAAAAAAAAATATAATTAATGAAGATTTGTTCTTTTTTTAGGGTTAATATATTTAATTATTTTAAAACATTGATAATAAATGACATAAGCAATTCAAAAGATAACCCAACATAAAAGGAGACACTCTCAAGTGCACCCACTTTAAAACACTTTTGCATTGACTATAGGAACTTTATTTGAAGATTATAAGAAGATTTTCTTGGTGGGATTTTTTTAGATAGAGAAAGTGTTTATGTCATATATTCCTAAGTGATCATTTAATTCGAAATACACCCACAATATACTCTTATTAGACAGATTTTCATACTCAAAATATAATTTTCTTGGTGGGAATCTTGATTAAATTCAAAGTTGTTAAAGTATTAAATGTGATTTACGTCACTGATTTAAGTATGATTTATATTTCTTGACATCATATTCATTTACATCAAAGAAGTATGTGATCATCAAACGCACTACAACACTCTACTAAACTCATATAATGTCAATTATTATAACAACATATTTATAACATATAAAACATAATAAGATATAAAAAAAGTTATATATTATTTGTGTTAAAGTATATCTATAATTTATGTTAAAGTACATTTGAACCTTATGTTAAAGCACATTTAAATTTTATTTTAAAATATATTTAAAATTTATATAAATATATATTTAAAATTCTGTTAAATTATACCTTTTAAAATTATGTTAAGAAAATACATATATATATTGATAATAATATATAATTTCTGTAAAAGAAATATTTTTACAGGAATTTTAAAATCATTAAATTTAATTAAACTAAGTTTAGTATTATTAAATATCAAATATTTTGAATGTATTAAATTTGATATTATTAGATATAAAATAATTTTACAGAAATTTTCAATATATTAAATAAATTAAATTTTCCATATTTTATTTCTGTTACACTAATTAATGTTAGGTTGTTATATAGTTACATGATAATTATCTTTAGCTGAGTGGTTAATTGGTTTAGTGTTTTTTTATTTATTTTTTATAGATAAAAAGAAATAGAAAAACTGTAGCAGGGGGATACTGTAATTACCCATAGATAATAAATAAAAGTATCTTTAGGGATGCTTTCAAGGGGTTTATTGTTAATTAATTATTCTACAGGTGTAATGTGAATTACCCATAAACATAGAGTTTCTCGCTGGAAAGAGAGGCTTACCCAAAAAAACTTCTAAAAAAAACTGCATTCACACGCTTGGTCAAATTTGTCGCCCATTTCTTCTCGTGTGGGTTGACGAATTTGATCGCTCCACGTATCCTCTTCTGTACTTTCAGGGAAGACTCATTTGTCCCTCGTTGCTGCCTTAATGATGTTTCTCATCTGAATAGAGACCAAAGGTAAGGGCTCCATGCAGAATATGGAGACACCAAGTTGAACAGAGAAAGATAAACCGCGATCATTATTGCCTAGCTACCCATTAAAATAAATTTTTACAAAAATAGACATATATTTTTATTTTTTATTTTGTTGAGGGGTAATTTTAATAGTAAGTATGGACAAAAGGGTGTTGGTGGTCTTTTTGTATTTCTGAAAAATTAACAAAAATAATAAAAATACAACAAAATGTATTATTAATAAAGAATTATCCATTATCGATTTGGGCCTAATTATGGACCGTTGCACCTCTTTTCTTAAATTTTGACCACTTTTTTTGAGTAACAGTAAGCCAACTCACAACCTGCATACAAGAGAATGAATACGGCTCCTCTGAAAATACATAATATTGTTTTATAAATTAGTTAAACCAACTTGTTGGTGTATGCAGTAAATTTAAAGTGAAAGTAATAAGTTGTGACATCTCAGAAGTATCTAAGTAGCCTAAGGAGAGCACTTACTTCAAAGAGGGAGGCAGCATTTCCACATATGAAATCCATGGCTCCTTCAATGTAACAGTTGCTGTAATAGTGGGTTCCAGTATCATCCACGAGAGTATCTTGGTAAGACGTAATCTTGCAGCAGTAGAATCCAACTCTATCTGCTGAGACTCTTAGTGCAACAACTCTGCCAACTGATCCAAATGTGTTCTGTAAATATTAACCAAGATGCAATTTTATCTTCTGTGTTTAGGGAGGTTTTGATCATTATTCCACTGAGATTGCTTCTGTGTTAAGGGAGGTTTTGAACAAGGAAATATACATTGGTTAAAGGCATTTGACCGGAGAACCGGAGAAAAAGTCTACTATTTGGTTGTCTAAAATTCTCTGGACTTGGTTTATTCCTTTATCAATCTCTTCTTCAACCTAATAAGCAATGACACAGCAGGTAGACAAGAGTTAGGTGAAGAAGAATACTGTATATAGCTGTAGCTCACCATTTGCCCTTAAAACGCAGCGTTTCATTCTAAAACACAACACAGCCATTTAGAATATTTCTGAGGGCACCTAAGTAATTTAAGAGACAAACGTCTATCTTCTTCCTATAAATAAAGGCGAAAGCTCACTCAAACCCTAACCGGCAGCCTGTAAGTATTAGGTGAAATGAATCTGCTTTTCCTCAAAATCTGTTGGTAGAGAAGAGAAGGTGCGGTGATGAAGGAGTAAATAATCTCGTTAATATGAGATTAACGTGAAGATAGTCTATCTATCCATTCTAAATTGTACAGAGCACATTCTCTTCCTCTTCCAAAACTTCTTTCATTCATTATTTTTAACATTAAAACTCAAATGAAATATCAATTTTTTTATCGAATTGATGGTAGAACGTATAGTTTGATGATGCAGCATTCCTTTTTTTTTTTTTTTTTTTTAAATAAAAAAAATCTCATGATGGTCAGATTTGTCTTGAATCTTCAGGGCACCAAGCATGAAGAAAAATTCATAAAGGCTCCTATTGAATAGGGGTGGGCTGTTGAGGCCCCTATATCAGGCTGCCACGTCTAGTGGCCTTTGCAGCAGCAGTAGCGGATTTGAGAATGAAAAGGGTGAAAGAAAATTGTGAGGGAAGGGGGAGAATAAGAGGAAGAAGAACAAAGCAAAAGAAAAATGGAAAGAAAGGGAAAAAAGGCGTAGAGAAAAAGAAGGATTAAAGGGTTAAGTTTTTCTCTAAAGACTATCGCTTTAGCCCCCTTCGTCCGATTAACCCAGCCTTGTGAACCAAATAGAGGAAACAGCATGAACAAAATATAACAGTAAAATAAATGAAACAGTAAATAAAGAAAATAACACTCGTGATTTACCCTGATTCACCCAATATGGACTATGTCCAGCAGAGTCAATATTATTACAATATGTCTCACCTCTCTTGCTTACAAAGAATGAATTGTCCTATGATTTGCTATCACTCTCCATAACAAAAGAAACATATGTTTATATATTAGGTTTAAGAGACTAAACCTAGTTTTACAAGGATTCATATTCCTAAGCTCAACTCAATAAGAAATTAGTAACTTAAAAGGAATCCTATAGCGGTTATACAGCGGGACCTTCGAATGCGTCTCCGTTATCCAATAATACTGAGGTAGTCGATAACTCCAACACTAGGGCTCACAAATTCAGATTAATGTAGTTTCATTTTCTAGATGAACAAACACAAAATCAATCAAAAGNTATGATTTGCTATCACTCTCCATAACAAAAGAAACATATGTTTATATATTAGGTTTAAGAGACTAAACCTAGTTTTACAAGGATTCATATTCCTAAGCTCAACTCAATAAGAAATTAGTAACTTAAAAGGAATCCTATAGCGGTTATACAGCGGGACCTTCGAATGCGTCTCCGTTATCCAATAATACTGAGGTAGTCGATAACTCCAACACTAGGGCTCACAAATTCAGATTAATGTAGTTTCATTTTCTAGATGAACAAACACAAAATCAATCAAAAGTTAAAACTTTTAATGACAAAATATATCAGCTTTCGAATTTATCCCATATGAATCTCAACTATTTTCAATCTTGTTCTTGGATAATAAAAGCGTTAATTTTGATATACCGACCTCATATTCTCTTCTCTCTCTCTTTTTTTTTTTTTTTAATCCATATTTCTCACATCAAATTTTGTCATACGTCAATTTATCAATGGTTTGTGACACCAACACAGAATGTATCATAGATTTTCTTGTACCAGAACAGAGATGAACGAAAGCTAAAGTTCAAAACTTAAATATAAAAATCAGTAAAACCAGCAAAATCCTTAACAAATCAATCCACCGACATACACACAATAAAATATTAATTTCAATTACATATCACGCGCCACCACAACTACAAGGGGATTTCGCAATCGCTTCAAATAAAGTCATTTACTTCAGCATAGCCTTGCCGCCTCCGTAAACTGCGTCTGAACCACAGTACTGCTCCTATTAGTCCCCATCTATTGATGTTGCTCTCTGTGCTTTCACCTCCTATAGGAGGGGGCTGAAGGGCGGATGAAATTAACTCTCTTCCTTCTTCCAAACGTTTGAATTGGGCTGCATCCGGGATCATCCCACGTTTGGATCCGTAGAAGATGTATATAACGGAAAAATAGAAAAGCATATTGACAAAACTAAAAATGGTTAGCCGGTGGTAGTACACGTCCAGCCGACTTTTGTTCAAGGTGTCACGAAACAAGATTTTGATTACTTGAATAAAAAGCATGCTAAGGAAATTTCCAAGTCCAATAACAAACTCATTAATTTCAGATACGTACTCCTTCCATGGATTCTGGAACTGATCAATGGCAAATTCATCGAGTCCAGTTGCAACAATCCCTTTCATGAGACCTAACAGAAAGAAATGAGGAAAAAGCCATAATATACTCATGTGTCCATGATCTGGAATTATTGTCGCCCTGCGACGCTCAACTTGCCATCCAACAGAAGAGCAAAGTATAGATGAAACAATTCCACCCCAAATTCCAGCTTGTATAGCCGTTTTCTTCTTAGATTTCGGTATCCATTTTGAGTGTATTAATGACTTTAACATATTGGAGCCCATTCCTCGTGAAAGACTTTTAAGTATACATAGAAAGACTGAAAACTGTAAGGAATCCAAGTTGTTTCCCTGCTCAAAAAAAAAAGGTCTCACCTGTTGATAATACCAAACCAACCACAAGAACGGTAGTCCACATGGGAATCATACTGAAAAAGCGCTTTACTAACTGGACTTGTGACGCACTACAAATCCTACCAAAGTTCTTCTGTTCTTCTTGACTTTGAGTGGAGGACTCTATAATGGCAACTTTGTCAAAGCCTCTGTGATTCAGGGAATTATTATTTAATACTAAATAATATTATAAATGAAAAAGAAAAAAAGTAAAACAGAGGAGAGATGAGGGTTTAGGGTTAATGTCTCCATGGTTTCCATTTAGGTTCTATATATAACTAGTTCTTTCTTTCGTGTCAATGTTACAAATACATATACACTGCACATGTGGTAAAATTAAAAGAAAAGAAAATAGAGATATACATTCCTAAGCCAATTGATTTTCGACGACAATGGAAATTTATCTTCATCATTATCGATGGGATGATCGAAAGAAGTAGAATATCCAAAACTCTTAGTTACGAAGGCCTTGATGACACGGAAAATTACACTAAAACTGCTGCCAACACCAGCTAATTCTCTACGACGGTAGAGATAAATACCGCAGCAAAACAAGAAGCAAGCTCTTCCCATCAACGATGTTGCTATCAATAAAACATTTTCCATTCAAGAAATACTATCAATACTAATGCAACTACTTCAGGAGAAAACATGATAACAAGCAAACCCGCCCTAATCAAAACCCTTTTCCACACACTCTTTAGACTCTCAACATGCTTTTTTTTCCAGTTTAACTGCTGCAGAAGAAAGCTTGATAACAAGGCCCCACACCCAACTCCACACCCTTTTCCACACACTCTTTCGAGTCCTTACTCGACTCTCATCATAGTTTGTTTCCGATTCGTCAACTTTTAATTGATGAGAAAGAAATGGTTCTAATAGTGCTCCATTCCAGCTTTACCCACTGCTAATAATAATATTCCAATCATCACAGATGGGTAAGAGTGCTTATCTGTTGATTTATATAAGAGACCCAATCCCTGCAACAAGACATTGGCTTTGTTAGTCCATGCATATTACGTTGGACATGCCAGACATTTCCAATATATTATTATTTACGACATGTTTCTATAAGGTTAAATACATTTTGGTTCACTAGATTTAGTCTAAGCAATATTATATTACTTGTAACATAATTATATAGGTATAATAGAATTTAAAAGTAACACTTACTTTATTAGTTGCCGTGACTCCATTTTGGCCTTGAGTACTGCCGGGAAATTAGAATTTAGGATTTGGAATTTTGGGGTTTTTTTGTTAGTTTTTGAAATTTGTTAGTTTTATTAAATATTTTGAAAAGTTTTCAGTTTATAAGTATAAATTCGATGAATTTGTGGGTAATATTTAAGTTGTTAAACTTATATTGAAGGGTAAAAAGTCATTTCTGAATTTAATAAAAATAATATTACACTTATAAAAACTTTATACAAAATCATTCATACAAGCTGGATGATTAAGTTAATGTGAATTTATTAAGTTAACTTTTATATTAATTCATCCAATTATAATCTGACAGTCACTTTGTAGAAAAGACTTTATATAGAGTCTTTATAATTGTAATATTATTCATTTAATAATTTTTTTTTTTTTAGATATAACAAACATAGGGATTAGGTGTAAGCTTCTTTATACCAACGGTGGTTTTTAATTTTGTCAAACATATGGAGCTTAACTATGATAACGCTTAGACAATATGAAGATGAAATACAAAAATGCAATATCATAAAGGATTAGAGGGGAAATTAAGCCATATTTTCGTAGTTAACAAAACGCTAAATTGACAAACTTACCAAAGTGAAGGAAATACAGAGTCAAGGTCCTTGAACAGGCCCAAGGAAGCTAGCAAAACAAAACAAGAGGAAAGGCACGGATTTACAATCCAAAAGGAGCCACCTAACAAGCCTCAAAGAGGTCTATACAAAATGACCAGCAAAACAAAATGCTGGACTTGCTCAATCTGTACAAAGAAAACAGCCACCAAAAAGCCAAAACCTAACATCACACCACAACTGCAAGAATCCAATCCACCAAAATGCATAAGCATAAAGTCCAGAAAAAAAAAAAAAAAAAGGACTCATGATGGAGGCATCCATAACCTGAACCGAAAAAACTATGTAAACGCAAAGAAACCAAGAGACTACTGTGCAAAAAGGAACTCTTCAGCTGAGAAAAAGGCAACCCCACCAACAAAAAAACCAGACCAGCCAACAAGCAGAGCAAAGCAGCAGCGCCAAAAAGTCCAGACAGGCAACCAACCGAACTGAACAAACCACCAAACCAACAAAGGCAAAGGACCAAGCACCCAACCAAAAGAGGAAGTCCAAACCAGATCAGAAGAAAACCCAGAATCTGCAAAAACCAACAAGTAGAGCAGTCTCCTGGACAATTCCTCCAACAAGATTGCACAAATATAAGCCAATGAAACCCCAATCCTCCATGAGCATAAAAAAAAAAACACCCAACAAAAACCAAATAAGCACCTTCTTGGTACAGCCAAAAACCCAAAAAGGAGGAAACAAAAGGCTATCAAACACATCAAGTCAAGGGGATCGAGACTTGATACAACTCACCGGTAACTCCCATTCAACTGCCAATACACTTTCTACTACAAATATAATTAAGCTTTAGTGTATCAACAAGGCGTTGGATAAATCCAATGGTGTGAAGCTCAGTTGTTAGGATCCCACATCGGGATATCACACCTACCAAGTGTGGTACTTAAGCCTAGGATCCCACAACAGAATGCTAAACGAACTTACCAAAGTGAAGATTTGAAAGGAAGACGGTAGCTATATGATGGAGGCGGGACTTTGAAATGTAAACCACAGCAGTTCCCAGACACTTTGAGAGTCAATCCTGAATCCTGAATGTTCTCTAGTACCGCAGCTTTCCTGATATCATATTCACTTTTATTGGTGAAGTATGTGATCATAAGACGCACTACAGCCAAGTCTACCAATGTACAGCCGAACAGCACGACGGAAAACTAAAATAACTATTAGAACCTTACGTAGTGGGTGTCTAATCAATAATCTGCCAATACAAACGAGAGTTTTAGTGTATCAACGGTAAAAGGTTCGTGACAAGGCGTTGTATAAAGCTTTATAAGACAAATTTTGCATCAGTCCAGTCAAAAGTTAAAAACATCTTGACACATATTAATTTAGTGGTTTGAAGAAAATCCAGTCTGAACAGAACTCTTCAATCCCTCCATTAATCTCTCTTTCTTTTTGTGTAACAAATTTGCAATACGCTCTCTCTCGATAAACAAAATAAAGGAGACTAGAGTTAACAGTATCAATCCACTCGTTAAGAGAAACTACAAGAAGCATTGGAATACGAGCTTCAGTCTTGTAAAATCCATTGAGTACTCTATCTGATCTCAATATTAGCCTTCTAAAACATAACAAACAAAAGTAAATAAAAGCAAGAAATTTCGTAAAATAGTTTGCTTTCAAATTGAACAATGGAACCGGTGAAGGAAGATTGAAGAAGTGTACAGCTGGAGAGCGAGATGAAGTTACCACCTTTAAAACAACAGGTGCCAGTAGCAGAGCTCGAGAGAGGAGGAGAAGCAGAGGCCCTACTAACCGAAGATCAAGGAGCCTAGCTTTGGTGATTCTACCACCGTGCTTTTTGGGGGGAGGGCATCAACTTTTGCAAGCACAGGAAGTAGCACTTCTAGTGGCACAACGTCAGTAGCAACTGGTGTTGGGTTGGGCTTACCTCATTCTCTCCCATATGAAGGTGAGTAGACCAACAAATTAGGCCCAGAACAACTCCATCTTATCTTCATCTTCTTCATTGTCCAGCAGCCAAAAACGTGAGAGAGTGAGTGTTCCCCTCCAGTGGCTGTCCTTTCTAGCCAGCCATCATCCAGAGAGTGAGACAAAAACAAAGAGAAACGGAGAAGAAATATGAGATTTGAGTCTGTGAACAGTGTCTCATCAAATCGTGATCTGGAGTTCGTTTGCCGTCGGATCGTTCTGATTTTTGGATATGTTGTTCATGAGACACAACTCTACATTCTGAACGGTGGAGATTGTAACTAAGCATTGCAAGGCAGTCAATTGTGGGTAAACCCGAAACTGCAGTTTTTATGTCTTTTGGGATTATTCTCTCCATAACTTAACCCCTGCATAATTTCCACAAGTATTAACACAAAATTTTGTTAGGATTTTGGATAAGACCATCAAATTACGAAGCAGCAGGATACTTTCTTTTTCCATAAGGTATAAAATGCATTTAACTGAAAACTCAACTTCTTTGTGTTTTGGGCAGACACACTTCTGTTGTTCAAGCACTATTGGAAGAGCTGCCTGGAAATTTCTGACCAACCTGCCATGTAGAGATATCAAACCACTTAAATGTTTAAGCAGTCCAAACAAATCTTAAAACAATTTAAATATCACCAATACACAAGTGTTAACGGGAATAAGAAAATCCAGATAAAAGTAATTGTTCACTGAATACTTACCATTTTCCTGTGAAGATGTTGTATAGTTGTGTTAAGGTCACCCTCCCAGCAATTTTTCCAGCCATAACTAATATGCTCTCTTCTGTCTAAGTTTGGTGTGCTTAAGACTCCTCCAGAGAATGTGTTCATATTGGGGCATTTAACCACATTTAAGACTTCCAAAAATGGGAATTTGAATGTGTAACTCCCAGAGCAAAAACTTGTGAGACTTTTTAAATTTTCAAGTCTCAATGACGTCAATTTGTCGAAAACAATTTCATAATTTTCTGTATCTCCCTCATTTGATACTACTTCTGTCATCATTCCACAACCGATTATTCCCATTTCTTCGAGTCGCACAAGACTTTTGGCTGTTGAAGATGATACCAAGTTTATCAATCCATCGCACTCCCATACTTCTAGTCTTTTTAGACTTTCATAGGTTGCTGAAGATGGCAGTAGATTAATCAAAGTGTGGCAATCATTGACAAATAGCATTTCAAGATTTTGAATAATTGAGTCCAGATGACAGTCTTCTTTCCAACTGTCCTTCAAATTAAAAAGTCCCCATAGCTCCAATTGTTTTATCTGTGTGAGCATCCCAGCACATTTCTCATCTTCTCCACATGAAAAAATCTCTTTGTATGGACAGACTTTTAATATCAGTTTTTGGAGACTGTTAAACCCCTCAAGGACTTCAATTGGAAAGTGTGCTGAATCATCCTTAATGATCTCAAGAACTTTCACTTTGGAAAACTGATGTTTCGGAAATTGATCTTGCCATATAGACGCGATGTCCTCTCCACTTAGTGTGATCCTTTCCAAATTGGAGTTAACCTGAAGATCAATCGTATAAATCATACCAAAATTAATATTCTCCTTAACATTTCACACGGTATGTAATAATATATATATATATATTATATATATATATATATATATATATCTTTTTTAAATCAGAAGCAAGCAGAAAAAAAAAAAAAATTTGAATGTAGACAAACTAGGTCTCATGCAAATAACAATTGGACTATGTAACTTTAATTTATGTCTAGTAAGCACGGAGCAAAGCCAATTGCAAGGCAATTAAGGAAATTGCCCATAGGTCTCCCTGAATTAGGAAGGAAAAATTTAAAACAATACAATGATTTATTATTTTCATATATATTTTATTATTATTATCTTCAATAAGTTTTTAAACTTCTATGTTTTCATATTTATGAATTTGAAGTTACTCAGACATCTTGAGCTAAAAAAAAGAGAAAAAAAAAAAAAATAAGATGATATACACAAATGATTTCAGATGATGTAACCATACTATTATTATCATGGATACCAATAATAGCATAAACATTTCAACCTAATATTATCTAGATTATACAGTTCTAAGCTTTTTTGTCCACTCAAAAGTGATTAAAATTCCACATCCACTCATTTATGCTCACCATTCGCCTTAAACACAGCGTTTCATTCTAAAAGACAGCACAGCCATTTGAAAATTGTTGAGGGCACCTAAGTAATTTAGAGGCAAAAAACCTCTTCTTCCTATAAATAAAGGCGAAAGCTCACTCAAATCTCTAACCGGCAGCTTATTAGGTGAAATGAATGAATCCTTTTCCTCAAAATCTGTTGGTAGAGAAGAGAAGGTGCGGTGAGAAGGAGTAATTAATCTCGTGAATCATGAGATCTTCGCCGATGAGCGATGGCGACGTCAAAAGCAATCGGTCAAGGCCCTCCTTTCCGGTGATTAGGGCCGTCAATCGGTAGGTTCACTCGCTTGTTGCGGGTTTCGAAAAAGGCGAATCCATGGCAGCTGAAGATGGATAGTTACTGCGCACCGGTATGGTGAGGTTGTGGTTGTTGCCTGTTGGCAACAAGGGGCAGCTTCATGGGCTGGAAAATGGGATTGGTGTGAATAGGGCCCAAAGTTTTTCTACTGGGCTAGACATTGTTAATGAAAATATGTGTTGCTGAATTCTGGCCCAAATGGACAAGGCAACTTGGAGACAATGGGTCTGTTAGTGAAGTAGGGTTAAACTGGGCCTTGAAACTAAAGTGGTAAGAATTAGTGTGGCTATGTTGATAAATTTTGGTTGTGGCGGCTGTGAATTTTGTGATCTGGTTGGGGTTTTGGGTTGTGTGATCTGGTGCTGGGTGAGATTATCCGGGATGGATGTGATCTCTTTGCTGGATTTGTGGTTTGACAGCTCCTCCACAAAGCTGATTCGGAAAACTATGCAGCAATGCATTAGAAGAAGCTCTGTGGGACGAGTGGAAGAGTTTTGTAAATGGAATTGGAGGTTAAAAGGAAAATGCCATAGGTCTCCTCTGAGTTAAGACAAGACAAATTTAATGGTAATACAATGAATATTTATTATTTTCAATATATATTTTATTATTTATCATCTTCAATAAGTTTTTAAACTTTTATATTTTCAATATTTATGAATTTTATTTACGTTTAAATTTTTAAATATAATTTTTTTTTATTAATAAACTTTAATTATATTGTCAACTATTCAAGTTTGAAGGGGAATAAGAAAATCAAAGAAAAAATACTTGTTAAAAGAATGCATACCTCTTCTTTGTACATATGTTGTATAGTTGTATTAAGGTCACCTTCCCAACACCATTCGTCTTTATCCTGCTCATTTTGTTGAACTTTCAGTAAACTTGGTGTGTTTAAGATTCCTCCAGAGAAAGACTTCATCTTGGGACAATGCTGGATAATTAATTCTTTCAAAGATGGGAAGTTCAATGTGTATTTCCCCGGGTAGAAGCATGTGAGACTGTCTAAATATATTAGTGACAACTTCTTCAATTTGCTGAAAACAATTTCATCTTCTACTACCACATCTTTCTCATTTGATACTATTTCTATCATCATTTGGCAACATTCTATTTTCATTTCTCTCAACTGTACCAAATGTTTTGCTACTGATGGCGTGACTATGTTTATCGATACGTGGCAGCAAATTACTTTCAAAACTGTTAAATTTTTGAAAGACGTCGAGGATGGTAGCACATTTATCATTCTGTGACAAAAACATACTTCTAGAACTTCAAGATTTTGAAGAACAGCGTCCAGTTTAAAGTCATTCCTCCACAAGTATTTCACATCAGAAAGATCACTCAACTCCAAACTTTTTATCTGTATCAATGTCTCTGTACGTTTCTCATCCTCTCCACATGTGAATATTTCTTTGTACGAACCTTCTCTCAGTACAAGTTTTTCCAGATTATTCAATCTTTGAAGGATGCCAACCGGAATATTTGTAGATCTATCGCCTTTGATCCTAACTGTACATCTACTGAAGAAGTTTTTTGGAAACTGCTGCTGCAATGTTACCATGTCGTCCACTCTGCTTAATGTTAATTCCTCCAAATTGGAGTTAATCTACAAATCAATTTGACAAAATCAAGTTGAAGTTGAAACTCTCTCAAACAATTCAACGCATAAATATCAAGTAATCTTTATATAAATGAGGAAAATAAATGACGGCAGTTACCTTTTGGACCAAGAAGAGGGATTGTTGCTCCCAAATATCAAGTTGACTCTTATTGTTTTCATGGAAGCTCTTAAATTCTGAAGTGAATATTTTTATTTTGTCACAATTACACACTACCAACTTCTTTAATTGTGGCCATTCACAAGTATGAACTCCAGGATAGAATGTTGCGAGTTCTGGTAGGTCTTCAAGTTGTAGGAAGGTTACTCGTGGAAACATAAATGTAGGATTTGCTTCTGCTCCTTTCTCAATAATCTCCTTTAAAACCCTACAATTGCGTATCCGAAGGTGTTCAAGCCGGTCAAAGCTTTTTACCACGGAAGATGAAAATACAAATTTTAGTTTTTCACATCCAACCACAATCAAGCGTGCCAAGTTTTGATAGCAATGAGATATTGTTGCTAGTTGACTATCCCAGATCATTTCAAAATTAACTGAATGAAGTTGTAAGGCCTCCAAATTGGGGACAACAACCTGCACATAAAGAATTTGTCAATAAAATGATACAAAAAACATTCATAAATCTTAAAAATATATACAGCATTAGGTTTATTTATTATATTTTTTTTCTTTATTCATTCTCAAAAAGATTTTCAAAAGATTTTTTAAATAAATGAAAAACAGAATTATGGTTTTGTAAATTAATGTGCTCTTGTAAGACAAAAATTATTATTTTTTCTTATTATTATTAAGATAGGAAAAGGATCGTACCTTATATTCTGAAGTGAATATGTGCAGTCTGTGACAATTACGCACCTCCATCTTCTTTAACATTGGCCATTCTAAAGTGTGTTTACCAGGGTAGAAAGTTGTAAGTTCTGGCAAGTCTTCAAGTTTAGAAAGGCTACTCGGGGAAAGATAAATGTATCAGTTGCTTCTGGTCCCTCTTCTTTGACAACAATCTCCTTTAATCCTTACATACCTTATCTCAAGGTGTTGGAGTTGCTCAAAGCTTTTGATTATCAGAGATGGAATACATATTTTAACTTTTGACAGCCATGACAATCAAGCTTTTCAAATTTTGATAGCACAAGATATTGTCGGAAGTTGGTCGTCCCAGATCTTTTCAGAATTGATTGCTCCAAGTTCTAAGGCCTCCAAACTAGGGAAAATAACCTGCTCAAAGTTTTGATTTTTGTCTTAGTATTTTACCATATGAAACAATAATAATGACATGCCATTAAGTTAAAGCTCTCTTTTGTGTATCAATCGTGGAAATAATTATCCCAATATGCCATCTGATAAAACAACATACTATAAATCTCAAATTGTATCTCCAAAGTTAGTTTTAAACATCTAAACATTGACAACAAAATTACCTTTTTTTTGAAAATTGGTGTGACAGTATCAACTAGCTCATCTCGGAATAAGATTTCATTGGACTGCAAATTAATTGATGACTCCACCTGTCTGGTTTGCAATGTGAAGGTGTATTTGCTGTGAGTGAAGCTTGCAATCCTTGGAAGATTAATCAAAGCCAAGAAGCGTAATTGAAAGAATCAATCTTATCAATCACTTCATTCTTGTTTACTCTGTCTTCTCTTCAACAGCAAAAATCTCCTTCATTTCTCACAGTTTCCACCCTAATTCTTTGAAGTTGTGGAAGGCTTTTGCTGGCATGGAGAATGAGAAGATAATTTCCAATTTAGCACAACTTTGCACTTCTATAACTTTAAGTTGTAGAAAGACTTTGTTGTGGGTTGACCATAACATATCTTTTTCAAGTTAATCAAGTTAAAAGAATCAGAGACTCCAAGAGGGGGAAGGCATCATAGGTATGCACTTTGTTGAGTCAACAATGCACACGATGTTGGATTATATGGACATGGAGATGTTTCAATTGTGAAAAACCCTCCTGTAATCATAAACATCATTCTTGATACCCTCCAATTGTTCTAAGCATAAGAATTCAACATCTTAAAGCACTGAAATTGCTCTGGCCAAATTTTCGTGTCAGAACTGAATCAGTTTCAGCATTCTTACTGTGGCCTGATCATCATCCAAAAAGCTCTTAATATGCATGCCCCTCACACCATCACAGTTATGTACCACCCACCAATTCAGATGACCCATCTCATTGATTTTTGTACCTTCCAGCTTTTGGACAACAAGTCGTTTGGCAAATCTTGTCATCAGAATGTCATTTCTAAGCTGTCAGTTGAGACAAATGTTTAAACTCCTAAGTCCTTCAACCGTCCACAGAATAGAGCATCCATCATATACAATTCTTCCAATCGCAATAAGCATGATATAACATTTGGTGCAATAACTTCTAGATTCCGACAATTACTTAAATCTAACAACCTAGTTGAGTCAATTTACCATTCTCCTGTCAATTTCTTAATCTTACAATGTTGCAAGCTAAGAATTTACATTGTCTCAACTTCCAATAATTGTTATATCTTGAAAATTGCCATAATTCAAACATAATGTTTGAAGATTTATTAGAAGACTAAGAGACGGCAAGGACAACTCATGTTGTGTAAACTTAGAACTTTGAGGTTACCCATCCCTACAAAAAATTCTCAGGGATTTCGAAAGAAGAATCCTTCATCCCCATACTGAAAAATTCAAGTTTTGGACAATCCAAACCTTCAGGCCAAAGCTCACTAATCACACTAGTATCAGCTAACGAGATTTTTGAGCACTTTTCAATTCATTTTATTTCTCCATTCCCTCTCCGTGTTATTTTGCTCAGTAAATAATGTTGATTCTATGCGCAATTGTAATGGCAACCGCACGAACAACGTCATGCATAGAAAAATGTTCATTGGTTCGCCCATCAAGTAACAAACAGGAGTCCTTGAGTTCACAGACAAGACTTTCTAGTCTATTTCGTGCTTGTTCCATTGTACGAATAACTCCTTCAAGAATACCTAAGCTCATAATGTATTTGAGCAAGTTTGAAATGGTAGTATATTTACCATTAGACTACAAACTAAAAAGTTCTCTTGAGTTCTCACCTTTTAGATAATTGTAACTCAATGCTATCTTGAGTAGTCCTTTTCCAGTAACCCTAAACTCTGTCGGGGAAGGATCTTCAGTTGTCGCAAAGCATCTTCCCATTGAGATCGATGTCTTTGTTCCTTAGCGCTCTTGCTACTGTAGTAATGACGATTGGCAAACGTTACATTCCTTACATACGTCGTTCGGCAGATAATTCAGCTTAATAATTGTTTGATCAACAATACCTGCCGGGGGAGTTAGATTGCGCTGGTCAAAGGGGCAAAATTACTTTTGAATAATTGTTATATTTATTATCAAATTGATACTGCATATGTTATAAATGTTTCAAAATTACTTTGAATTTGCTACGCTAACTTTGATAGTACATATGTGCTAGATAATAAATAATTGTTTATTCAATTATCAAATAGATATATAAAAAAGTATAAAGGGAATTTGGCACATTATTTACTTATTTTCATGTAAAACCGTAAATCCAAATTAATCAAACTTTTTCTAAGATCTGGAGGGGCCAAGACTATGATGTAAGTGTTAAAATTGTGAAAAATAATAAATATGTAAGAAAATGTGAAAATTCTGTAACTTTGATTACCTGCCATCTTTTTAAACAGGCTCCAAGCTTCTCTTCAGTTAAAAAACCCACTGGGAAATTCTTTACAGAATCCTACTCTGTAAAACATTAAGATCTCTTGCTGTCAGCAATACTTTACATCCCCCACGATCATTTCCACAAGGAATTGCGAGAGCCTCCAAATTAATTCTTCCCAGATGTTATCTAAAATACAAGGATTTTTATCGCTCAATCTTGCATACAACTTGCTTGCTCTTTTGCCTCCGTCTCAAATTTCAGACTTAACAGATTTGCTAGTTCATCTTGAATTTTTAGTGTCGGTTTGTCAGATACTCTACGAAAATCACCTCACCAAGAGCTGTTTTTTCCTGGCTTGCTGACAACTTCTTTGACCAGCGTGGTTTTACCAATGCCACCCATTCCATAAACCCCAATAAGCCCGCCTCAGCATCTTCTACAGCGTTCAACACACCATTCAAAGTTGAGAGTCTGGATTTAAATTCTCGTAATCTTTGTTCGTAAGCCTAAGCCGAATGTCTTCACGGTGATAGGAAGGGAAACTCACTGAATGTTTCTTTTTCCTGCAGGAATAGTTACAGCCACCACTTTTTTCGTGCTTTCCTGTTTTTGTAACAGGTGATCAAGTTGAAACATCGGCAGTTTGTTTTCTTTTGAATCAACTTCTCTGCTTCATCAATCATGGAATCCACATTCCTCTGCCAGTCTTTAACCTGCTGTTTGATCTTTCCACGTTCTTTTCAGCCGCAACAACCTGAAGATTCACCTCATCTCTTGCATCCTTCAGCTTTCCAATTTCTTTTTCGAGATTTGCAAAGTTGCTTTTGTAGTTGTACAAGTACATAAATTGACGTCCTATAGGAGCAGCTAAACACTTTCCAACTTCTAAAACAGCATTCCCTGCCGTTTCTTCCATCCTAACCCCTTATAGAAAAAATAGATCTGAACCAAAAAAAAAAAAAAAAAATAAAAAATAAATAAAACAAAACAGAGAAAACACGGGACACAGGGACAAAAACCACAATAACAGAAAAATAGTGACAAGGAAAATATACCAGCGAAATTTAGATGCAAAAAGTGGATAGAATCAGATTACAAGTTAAAATATGAAGTGATATGGATATTGCTTACTGAAAGAGAAGCAGGGGATCCAGAAGAAGGGGAAGGAGTGAAAAATCTAGTGATCAACAATCACCAGTAAAGTATGTTCAAGCAAATACAAGGAAAGATCTGGTTTTTGAACTTTGTTTGGGGCGACTTAGTAGAAGAAAATGCAAAAGAAAGCATACTCAGAGATGTCTATAACAGAGGGTTGAAGTGATACAGGAAATTTGTGAATTGTGAATTTGTGATCTCATGTGCTCACTAGTAACATTAACATGTGTGTTAAATGGTTCAAAACCAAAGATAATTTTATTAAAATTATTTTGAAAGACTCAAAATGTTTTGTTAGTCAACAAAAAGACAACAAAGAAAGCGACATTCCAATGAACTTTCTGCATTATTCAGCAGATACCATTAAATCACTAAACCTATAAAAGTACAGTAAAGCAAAGAAATTCACCAAAAAATATCAAATATTAATTGAACTGTTTCTTGCTTTTCTTTGGTAAATATCAAAAGTAAAAGTCTTCTTAAGCCAGCTGAAAAAACAAGATGTTGAAAGTAACAAGGCACTAATCATGAACATTGAGCCAAAAGTAGAAGGTGTAAATTCCACAATCAATAAAGTAAAAATGGACTTTGCCGAACTTTATAATAAAGTAATAATACATTGAAGTGATAGTCTTTATCTTTCATCATCAATAATTGAAGAGAGCACACTGTTTAAGATTCCCTAACAGTATACATCACATCTTCACTGTATGGTAGAAGCAAATTGATGCATGCGACCAAAGTTAAAGTGATGACCACAAAATTAATTTAGGGCATTTTTGTCTTATTATTTTTGCCCATACTCCCAATCTTATTCTCTAAATAATGTTTGGTATATTATTCTAGAAATATTATCTTATTTTTTTAATTACTTTTAGACCCCATAAGGTTATTAATTTCATTAAATACCCCCTAAAAAAAGTTTAAAAATTAGTAAAAACACCCCCACAACCAATACTTGCCAGATTCCGGCAACCACCATCGGTGGTAGCCAGAATCTGTACAATGGCCTACCTGCCGACTAGAAATGGCCGAAAGTTCACCGATCTGACCTTTTCCGACCAGATCCACCACTGATTTGGCCAGAAAATGCCAGATCTAACTGTAACAACAGCCAAATCTTGGCCATCGATGACTAAAAACGGCGACCATATCTTTGGCCGTCGTTTTGGCATTTTTTGGCC